GGCAAAACTGGTGACAGAAAATTATAAGACCAAGATAAAAAGAACCAGCACCATCTAGTGCCCACAAACAGGGGCGCACGTGTTAAGAGCAGACAGCAAAACACACACTACAACATCAACATTTTCTTGCACATTTGCACTTGGAAGTGCGGAGTAAGCGTAGCCAGAATCTCACTGCAACCCTGTGTCCTGCACATAAAAAGGGACTTGGCACGTGGCAGATCCACCTGGCACTATCCCAGTGCTAACATGTTACTGCCTTGAAGGTCAACCAAGCCATAAAGCAAAAATAAACAGCTCCCAGATTGCAAGACTATGCAAAACAGGCAGGCAGCTTTATCAGTGCTGAGCACTCCCTTGGAAAGTGAGAGAAACCTAAAACCTCTGCCTTAAGCTCTTTTTAGCATGGAAAAGTCTACCTGGTGCTGCAGAAGACGATTAATACTAGAAATCAAGGACAGTTAAACATTTCCCTGCCCTCAGCTGCTCTCTAGAAGATTTAAAGACAGGCCACACGGTGACACCAGCACTTGTGCTGCAGAAGCGGGACCACCAGCCCTCTCCTGCAGGTCAAGGCAACGCCACAGACTCAGCCAAGATGCCCACATTCCTACCTGTCAGTATTTCTCAGTGTGCCACTGGAACTACACTGGTTCAGTCTTTCCAGAAGCTAGCAATACTTGCTTTGCTGTCATTTCCTCATCAATATTCTGAGAGGTAAATATCAGAAGCCTAACTAAAAATCTCAAATGTCAACATCACCTTATATGCAGATCCACACAGGGGGTTGTCAGCAGTAAACTGCAGGAGAACATTTAATTAACATCAGCAACCTCAGATTACTGCTGTTAGAACAGTGATTTGCATCAAATAATAGAGCATGGAATGATACTTAAAGCATGAATTTCTAATCCTCCTCCCAAGTATTTTAATTACACATCATCTCAATGGGGGCAGAAGGGAAGTGCTACAGAAATAGCTAATTGGTCTTGATAAGAAGGACACAGGTAAGCACTACAGAGCAAACTGCATTTGGGCAACATTCACCCAGCTGGGACAAGACACAAACAAGCTGCCACTCCACCTGCTGCCTTGGTATTCCATCCAACACACAAGGAGAAGCTTGGGCGACCTGAACGTGTCCTACTGCATGCTCTTCTCCGCAAGGTGCTGCCCACGAGCCTGCCAGGCTCCCCACACTGCAAGTGGGTCACAACTACTGTCCCCAGGAGGGGGACAGACGAGTTAAGACTCACTCTCCTGTTCTGCCTTTCCTCATTTCTTACTTAGTACAGCGTGTAAGCAAGGCAGAGTGGAAAAGCTCCCACACAAGCCCTGCGAAAAGCTCCTGGGTGAGGTATCTAACACTTCCTCAGCCGAAGTTCTGGCAAAAGGCAGTCAAGCCCAGTGGCAAAGGAGCCACCCTCCTGAATGCGGACTGGCTGGGTAAGGGCAAGTGGCCTCTGCCAAGCTCAGTCTTCACCATTAGCTGCAACACAAGCCAGGGCTGCAGTGTCTAAAGCCTGGAGCATCCAGCACACACAGCCACTGTCTCGAGCTTCTTACAGCCTCAGCCAAAAGCTCTGGAGAGGGCTACAAGCTACTCCATTGATCAGAGGGCTTGGGATGTTACTTACTAGAGCACGAAAAGCCAACTGAAGTTTTCGCCGTAGACTTAATTTGATCAACCCATGGTCTGACTGGTTGAAAGCTATTTTTACACAGTCATAAGAACTAAGTGAAAGATGTGACAGAACACTGGGAAAGGAGCCAACAGGAAAGGGGAAAAACAAGATTAATCAATCCCTTAAGCAGCAGCTTGCAGTGAAGTCAAGTTACACTTCAACAAGACTGAATTCTTATTTTTGCAGAAAGACCTAGCTAAGATTTGTCACTGTTGACCTCTGCGGAAAGCATGAGGCAAGAGTAAGGAAGTCTCTGTCAGGGGCAATTAAGAGACATGGCAATGAATACTATGACTTTTGGACACATTTCCAAACATCTCAGCAAAGTTGCTTTCAATCAGAACATGGCATTTCATTGAAACACAAGAGGGCACATTTTCCTTGGACAAGAACTCCAGAATAACTTCATAATCAAAAATGAAGCCAACACCCCTTCCAGTAGTACCAGTAGTCATGGAGGGTACTCATCTTGTATGTGGGTGAAAGATTTGTGTCCTGGATCTAAACCTCATGCTCTAGAGTCTAGGTCTAAACCCTAGACTTGCATCTCCCATATCACAGGAGAGGTGTTAGGAACAAAAGCACCACTTAATCCTGAGAACAAGTCAGCTACACTTTATTACCAAATGCAATCTTTTCCCCAATTTTCCCCCAAGAAACAGGAAGGGTTTTTTATTATTACTGTTGCTTGTTTTTTCTCTCTTTTCCAGTCTAGAAATATCAACTTCCATGCATGATGACGACCCCTAAGCATTAAATTCTGAACTTAACTTCAGACCATGTTTCCAAGTTTCCCCTCTGGCTCCTAATGGACCCTGCAACATGACATCAGCCGTTGAAGTGCCTGGTTTGCTTTGCTATCCCAGCTTGAACTTCACGTCTCCCTCTGTCACAGCTAGTGAATGGTTTAGAACGGGTCCAATAGTTCCCTCAGACAAGAGATAGAGAACATCTCTGTCAAAGCTGGTATTTGAGCGAGTCCTGCTGCCAGACACAGCTCTGGATTGAGTGCAGAACAGCTCTGCACTCTCTCATGTCCCTAGCTAACCCTTCTCCCAGCTGCACCACACAGCTTAGAAATCCACTTGATGAAACATGAATAAAACACAATGTCCATCATTAGTTCTTGTTACTCAGCAGAAAATCAATACAGGCTCTGTTACAATGCAGGACATGCTGTTACTGCAGGTCCTGCGCTCCGAGGAAGCGGCCTGGGCAGCCAAGCTGTACACAGCCACAGCAGAGGAGGCCTGGGAAGATCCAAACACCCATTCCAGAAATCAAAGTGCTGAAACTCTAGCAATTAATCCCCAAATAAATCTTTTGGAGGTAGTGGCATTTGCTTCACAAAAGAGGGAAAAAACCCTCAGGTTCAGAGGAAGAATAATGACGGCACCTGAGGAGCTTCTCTCAGCAATGAAGGGCAAGGGCAAAACCCCAAGTTGAACACACACATGCTGGAACACACGACTGTCATGACCATGGTCTTGCCTTTTCTCACCCCTTTGGGGGGCCACTTTCAAGAGGGTTTCACGTAGCCACAAACATCCTTTCCCCCACTCCACTCAAATGTAGCCCCTTGGAGATGAGGATAATTCTTTTGCAAACTACAGCAAGACACAGTTACAGGTCAGGCAAACAAATGAAGAATGATCATTTACCAAGTCACATCAGAAGGCAAACTCAAGTTCGCAAAAAAAATGAAATTCAGCCAGGCAGCAGAATCATTTCATATCACTGCTAGGATACACGAGATCAATAACAACCAAAGCTCCACAAGGGCTTTCAGGACACAGGTCAGGGGTACCTCTGTAGCAGCACAGTGAAGCACCGTCAGGGGACAGATCACAGGACAGGTCATGTTCTGGCAGGGAATAACAGTTCCTAGGAGATCTCCCATGTAAGCAATTAAGCAACGCTGCCAGCTCAATGCTCTGTTGTTTGAGGGGAACAGGATTAGAAACAAAGCAATAACAGACAGCGTGCAGTAGTGAGAGAAAAAAAATCCCTTGTCCAAGCAGTTTCTTGTACATCCATCAGAATATTGTCACTGGAACGTATGGCAAAACCTTTTCTGCTGCTATAATTGAGAGCCTTACAGCAGAGCCTGTTTTTCTTGCGCTGTCTGATGCTAGTCAAGAGGAACATTCAACAGGCATTTGAAGTTCTGCCTAGTTAGACAGCAAGAAAAAGACCCAAAACACACAAGTAAAAACCTTCTGCCTCCAGCAGTACTATTTAGCTTGAGACTAACGAGCTCCACATTATCCATTCCATTTAACTGTAATTATGTTAGATTGCCTCTTTTTTGATCTGCTCTATCAGCAGCCCTAGCACTGTGGGGAAACAGATAACGATAAGGAGAAAGCTAGTCCATGCAGGAGAAACTGGCTGTGAAATGAAAGCATGACCGGGGCAGCGCATCCACACTGCTTTCACCCCAGGCACCTTGGACTCGTCCATGTTTCCAGGACCTCAGTCTTGTCTCACTTGAGCTTTGTGAGACAGCTCAAGAAAACACCCTAGTTCATCTTTCACACTCACATAGTGCTGCTAGTGGTGCAGCTGCCTCTGCAGAACCTGCCTCCTGGAAGCACCCACAAAACAGACGAGCTTCAGATTGACATCTCGAGAGGGTCCATCTCCCTCCCAGATGCCATCACAACGGAACGGAAGCAAATCCCATTGCTCCTGGACTGCTACAGGAAACCCTGCCCTAAATATACTCTGGAGCTAGTCCATGGAAAGCATTTATACAGGAGCTAAAAATCACCAAAAGTCTTTAATTAAAATTATGATAATTAAATTTTCTACCTAACAAAACGTCACTCTTCTTTCTTTCCATGGAAACTTACTTATTCTTTTAAGGTAAAAGCCAAATATTTGGAAGTCACATGTTTTTCAAATTGGGAAAGTGCACTAGGATATCTAAAATAAATTACATCCAGTTACTACATGCACATTTTCCATTAATTCCAGCTCTTGTGTGTGTCAGCTTCTCCCATGACTCATAACCAGAAAGTCAGCTTGGGAGACCACACAGAATTCTAAGTGACATCGTCCAGCCAGGGAGCCCCCTCCAAACAGAAAAGCAAGGGGCACGACCCACCTTTCCTCCTTTCTTCAAGGGACACCCCGGCAGCAGTGTTTCCAAAACCACCACAAAGCAGCCTGTGCAGCCCCGGGTCTTTGTAGAACAAGTGACTTGTGTGTCAGATGGCTTAGAAGTTAAAGTGAACCTTGCGGTTCAATTATCATTAATGATGGCTGATAGGAATGATGTTAGGCACAAAATACAAGGAAATGCTGGCCTACCTGGGGCAATTTCAAACAGATGTTTCCCTGGTTCATCAGGATTAGGTGGCAGCTCATTCACCTGATTGCCTTGCAGTGGAATGAAACCCTGTAAGGGACACAAGCAACAGTGAAGGGGGAACGGCCATGAAGAGGGCAAGAAAAGGAAGATAAATACAACAGGCTTTTGGCAAATTTAAGCCCCACTCTCCCAATGAGTCCTCCTCCTTTTCAGTCACACAAGTTTTGAGCGAAAAGAGATTTAACTGGCCATGCATCTCACCTGGCCTTTCCCTCACATAGGACACTTCTGGGCTATCCTCTGTAGTAATTATTTTCTAAGCATGCACAGGAGATTCCTTTTGGTTTCCACAGCTAAATATCCTTATTAAAGTTTCACCTGCAATCACTCTTCTTCATCTTTTAATTTCTGAGCTCTGGTCATCTGAGCTTGAAAGCAATATGAGGTGCCTGCATTTGTACTTTAAGATTTCTATTTAGGTATCTGAATAAAATGCCCTCCTTTCAAGAAATTCTCATTACTCAGAAGCTTCCAGGGTGATATCTGAAGAGAACTAATTCAGATTTGTGAGACAACAGGACTGCCTTGTAAACCCAAAGCCTACAGTTAACCTAGAGGACTGAGCCCCCTTATTTTCCAATCTAAACACTGCCAGAATTCGGATTCAGTTTTAATTTGAGCCCATATGTCATCAGCACTATGCATTTCAAACGCAGGATTTCTTTTCCACAGTCCACAGAATAACGTCTTCAATTAAAGTGGGCAAAAAAGTATCTATGGAGAAGCTGAAATAAAAAGAATCTAGGAACCTCTTGTCCAGTAATACAGACAGAACAAAAGGGACTTTTTAGACACTGTTATTTCTCTATTTTTTCATCTTTGACATTTTGAAGAATTTAACTGACATTCTTTAGAAACTATATTCAATAAAAAAAGGCAGAACATAACAAGCCAAAAGGCATGGACAATGCAATTCCTATTTCTGCAGGAAACTGCCCTGGAATAACACCTGGATCTATCTAGATATATAGCTTTTTAGCTTATACGTGTATAAAAGAAATAAGCAGCCGAAACCATGTGACATTGCTAATAAACACACACAAACCATCCTCTCCCTCAAACATTTTGGAGACTGCCAAATTCAAGAGACAGGAAAGTATAACTGGTAACTGAGATCAATCCCAGTTATGCTTCTTGTCAGCATCCAGATCTATATTAATGAGTAATATAATTACAGTGTTTCATAAGACACTCTCCAGGACTTCAACTGATAGACCACAACCTATGGCCTTTGCAATCTTCTTCATATAACAGAGAAGCCAGTAATTTCATTTTCTCATTGTATCTGTTAGGGAATAATTTCCCTTTGCCTCTTGGTAAAAGATCTTCTCTACAGATGTTTTACCTGGAGAAACTGCTGTAGCAAATCATGGAGACAGCTGGTATTAAACGTAAACGAATGAAACTTGGACTCTTTGAGTCCCAAATGTTCAAACTACTATGTATGAACTACCCAAGCAGCCCTGCTTGAGCTGGAAAATATTTTCAGCTGGAGAAACAGCTTACTCTACACTTACTCTAGCAAACATGACCAAGCCATAGCTTAGCTGAACTAACCCTTAAACACAGCATTTCCTAACTAAAACAGGCTCTTTTTAATCCTTTGCAGAAATTATTTCATATACCTACAGATATTTCACATTAAATGTGAAATATATGAATAAAACTGAATATAATGTATATAGACACACATTGCACACATACATGCAAAGCAAGTTGCGGGTTGACAGAGGAAAAACCATTTCAGTCCTCACTGTGCAGTGATATTTGTGAACAACAGCTGAGAGTGCCTCGGTGGTGAGCAGCTGGACAAGAGCTGCAGTGAGCATGAGGGTGCAGAGGGGTTACACAGGCCGCCTGCACTCACTCGTGGGCAGCAGCAGCAGCACAAGGACACTGTCTGGCTCGTTCAATTAAGCTCCTTCTCTTCAGTGACTCCAGTTAGCAGCCTGACAGACAAAACAAGGGCTACATGAACTATGCTGCCTAATACACTGCAGCAGCAGGGAAAGCAAGTGGCTCAAATGGCACAAAACCCTTTTACAGGCAGAGGGAAGAACTTGAATAAGAAATTCTTTATCTCTTGCAAGTCTTGCCCTAGGTCAGTAGCACACATCTCCCCAGCTCTCTAGATATGGGAGAGTCAAAGGAGCATAAAATTCTGCTGAATTCAGTGCTGAGTTCAGACTTACATGGTGTCCTCAGCTACGCGTTTACTCTAAGCTGAGGAGCACTCTCTTCTCTCCAGGAGCCCTGTGTTCAGAGAATCACATTTAATTGTAAGAAACAGGTACTAGACCAGCTACACACAACCACACACACACTATTTGCCTGGGGGGAACCAAACAGGCTGCACCTGACAGGGAATCACAGCACTTGGAAGAGACTCTGGAAAACCTTGGAGGTGGTACAGCAGTTAAAATACTCAAATACCCTGGCTCCTTTGTAATAGGTGCTACACAAGCAACAAAAGGAGACATCTGAGAAGGATTTTGACTGAGATAACCAAAGAAATTATCACCTCCCCTTTCTGTCATGCCATCTGAGGTATATTTAATGCTTCATCCAATAGAGCATCTGCTGTGTAAGAGAAATATTTTCATAAAATTGCATCCTAACATGCTAGTTCTGTTAGTGATGCCCTTCTACCAGATTTTTTATTAGCTGGCTATAAACACATGTGTGTGTGTGCAGGGGGCTGGTAGTGCAGAAACACACTCAGCCCAGGCATTTGGCTGATTTTTCTCTCTGCAAGCCTGTGTATTCATGGCTCCACAGCACAGCCCAATGGGCAGGGGAAACTTTCACAGTGCTGTCAGTAACACCTCACTGAGTGAAATCAAAACCTTGTGTTTCCAATTCACTTGTATACCTGTAACTAACCACAATCGGGAGTGCCTAGTGAAAAACAGTGTCTGCTGTGATATTCTTCACCGTGTGTGAAACGTCTAGTGCTGCCTGTAGTCAACAGAAGGACAGGGAACATTTTTGTTTGTTTATTTTGCAGTTATCTTTACATCTACTGGAGAATTTAACCCTTTAAGCTACTTTGCTATCACTAATCTCTACTGCATCTTCTGCCATATTCATATTTACTTTATATATACACTTTACAATGGGAAAGCTCATCTGCTCTAAGTGTTTTCTTGTCAGTGTCTTCCAATTTTTGATGCTTGAGAAAATAAACTACCCCTTGCACAGCCTGCTTTCTTCTTGTACTGAAGAATATATGCTCTGAATATAACAGAGTAGTAGCAACATTTGGCAGGTGCTTTGGGAAAGGGGCTATCACTTCCCATGTCTGCAGAGTGCCCAGTGCAACAGAATTTATTGTTTTTGCATTTTGCCACTGAGCATGTATATCTGTCTAGGGTTTAAGACCTAGCAGAAAAGAAAGAGATGAAGAACTAAATGCAACTTAAGCATGGTGGTTACTAAAAAATTGTGATTTGAGGGCGAACTCCAAAAGGTTTATTTCCTCCTCACTGTGAAAGGTTACATTGTCCCCAACCTGCTAAATTAGGCTTTCAGTCATGCACTCCTCCTTCCAGATACAGACATCATACGTGGCTAAATTCATATTCCTAAAAATTTGCACAGAAGAGCATTAAATCCCAAATGGCATCTAAAATATAAGCCTATTCCCAGTCCTGCATACTGCCACACAACAAACCTGCCATGTGCTACCCACACAGATCAGCCCTGAGCAGCTGCTCATCTCTGTCTGCACGAGGATGGATTATCTGGGAGATAAGGAGTCCCAGCTGACTAAGTAAGAGTTGCCCTCCTGCTTCAGCATCCTGGAACTTCATAGCTCTTCCTGACAAACTCCAGTCTCGCAGATAACCATGCTAAAATTTGGAGGTCAGTCTAGGATAATCAAACACTGGTTTCCAATGGATGCTTTTTTCAGTAGAAATCTAAGTGAATCCATAGCATAACAGGCTGAATAATCAAGTAGTTGCTAACAAAACATTACCCCCTCATGCTGGGAATTATGGAGTAGTGTTCTCCCTCATGGGCTTGCCAGAAGCCCATGATAGAGTTTTAAGAGGAGCTTACAGTATTTTTCCTATGGAGAGGATTACGTCAATACAGATATTGTAGATGAGTGAACACCCAGGTCTATCAATCTTTATGATTTCTGAATAAATAAAATAGCAGCTTCCAGAATGCTCAATGTCATGCAAAAACTGCTTCCTCTGAAGCTCTGCCATTGATGCAGAAGCAGGACAAGTACCACACAGTTGGGAGGATTTCTACAGCACAGCTTCCAGCTCCCAAATCTAAACTTCATTGACCATGGAAAGGAAGGACAGCCCAAGCTGAGCAAGAACAAGGTTGTTCGAGCACTAGCCTTGCACCTGGGAGATGTCAGCCAGGGAAAAACAAACCACCACTGGCCTGCACTTGCTCCAAAGACTGGCCACAGCCTGAAGAGGCACAAAGAACATTCAAGAACACTATGCATTTAGCTGTAAAAGGTACTCAGATACTGTGAAGACAGGCTGCAAAAGAGCAGCAAAAGACACAAAGAGAACAATAAGCTGAACAGAAATAAACGCAACAGCTGTATTTTTCTGAATTTTGCTTTTCACAGCAATCAGCAGTTGCTTAAAAGACTCATAACTTCCAGATTTCTAAGAATCTCTCGACAGTCGCAGGTTCTACCAAGAGTTCCTTCGTTAGGGAAAACCTCACATGACAGCCACACTGCTGTGATTCCAGGCAGTGATTAACAGAGCTTTTACTGCAGTTAAACAACCCAAAATAGCACATAAAAAATAGTAACATACCATTTTCTCTAATTAGATATGCTCATCAGGAAAACTGTCAGACTACCAGGAAACACATGATTAGTCCAGAGAACCTAAAACTGGGTAGTGCTTAGGAATCTAGTAGGAAATACTGCTACTCTGTCAAGAGGTAACCAGCAGGCCAGTAAAACCACCACACATAAAAGCCAAGAATATCATTGCCATATTAAATCAGGAAATGCAACCCACCTACACGGAGCAAGCTTGTTCAGCCTCCATGACTCCAACCTGGAGCTCAGTGGATATTCAGGGAGGGGAATTGATTGCTGCAGGAAGCAGCTAAGGCTGAAAAATCAGAAATATTCAAGGAGGGACTACATACGTATAGCTGACAAACATCTCAAATATTACAGCTATAGTATCTGAAGGAGCCTTAAGAATTAAGTATATTAGGGATTCCAATACCTTCCAGCAGAGGGCAACAGCTAATATGACAAACTGCCCTGTATTTATTACCACAAATTTGCCACATCTGCCTCTGCCAGATGACAGACACAGTTACAAGGAAGATACACACTGAAGACCTTACATGGCAGAAATAAACATTACGTATAATAGCAAAAACAACAATTATCTCAATACTTAGCTTGGTTCAGGCCTTTCTCCAAAAAGAAACAAGAATTACAGGATTATAAATAGCAACAGAACAGAAAGAAGAATCTCTTGGTGAACTCAGAACACACTTAAGAGGAGAAAAGAGTGCAGCAGCTTTCAGCAATTCCTCATGGCTAAAGGAAAGAACTGCCAGTCCCCAAACCCAGCTCCTGCAAACCAGTTATAGCACTATCCCTCTCCACAAAGCAGGGCCCTGATAATATTTCACTTTTTACACATATTTCACTTTTTACACATTGACACATTCAAACATTTTTGCAATAATGTAACTTGGAAGAAGTTTCCAAGTTCATTTCCTGTCTGTCTACTTCATCTTGCACATTTGCACATCTGATAGGGACAGCAATTTCTTTCTCAGCTGCTTCACAGCTTATAATTATTACCGTTCTCTCCTACATGGCTATGTTCTTACTAAACTCTCTTCCCTGAACAAAGAGGGTACTGTGTAAATGACACCCTATACAAAGGCTCTTGTCTTTTATCTGGTGGATGCATAAAAGCTTCGGTTGGTCACTGAAGAAGTGTTTAACTTCAGACGTAGTTAATTACTAATTTGGTTTGTTTTCAGAATCTTTCAGCATGCCCTGCTGTATAAACAAACACCTTCTGACATCTCCTGAGCACTCATCTGGGTCTCCTTGCAGTCTTTCTTGCCTTTGAACCTTCTCAGTGCTAGAAGCAATTGGAACAAGCTCTCAAAGCCACATCCATGACCTATGCAGGGTCAGCAACAAGAACGCCCTACATCTCTCATACCTACAGCAGTCATACCTGAGGTTTGGTTTCCTCCTCATCTTTGTAGTAGAAGAGCTGGTCCCCACGCAGAACAAACCACCGCGGCTGCCAGTTCTTCATAATGCTTCTTTGCTTCTTCAGCCAGCCACACTTCAGCACACGGTCTTGTGGATTGGGAGAGGATGGTCTGGAGGAAGGTCCAATCTGTTCACCCATCACCAAACTCTTCGACCGGGCTAGAAAAAGGTAATTTCAGAGTAAATGAAACACAGAAATAAGGATGAGAACATCCACAGAGACCAACTTGCTCCACAAATTCTAAGACAACAGATGACTACATGTAGTCGCTCTTGCTCTCTCAGTTAGGTATCTGCTTTTCACAAGATATATAGTCTAACACTAGGCAAATATCAACTTTTTTGCATTACGTATGCTAGCAACCTTCTAGGTTACATGATATCTCCATCTCTGCCTAAGACTGCACTGCTCATATCAGGCTTTGGTTGTAGCAAGTCATAACATGCCTCCAGATCAACATGGGAATAATGATACTGCTCTCTCCATAAGGGAGATTTACCCAGAGAAGATATATTTGTGTGGTGAGGGGAGACTGAAAGAGGGAAGGAGAAAGTAAAAAGAAATATTCCCACCCCCTACCACCACCACTGGCACAATCAGACAGTGGAATTAATTGCCAAAGGAGGAAAAAAAAGTTTCAGGACTTTCAGGAGCAAGAAAGACTCAAAAGGGCAAGACTCAGACAGAAAACATTGCTCCAGAGAATTATTACAGTCACTGGAGTAACTGAAGGATATTAAAAAACCCAAATCCCTACATTAATCAAGGCTTCCTAACTCTGAAGGAGAAAACAAAAACAACAATAAAAAGGCACCCACAATAAAAACAGAACAGGTCTATCAGTTTTATCTATGGAAATGCTTCTGTTGGGTAGGAAATCTATTGCCCTTTCCTTTCTCAGTTCTTCTCCTCTCATATTCGTACAATAACACTGTTGACACGCGGGTCATTTGTAGCTATTCTGAAGGAGTAAGTAATGATTATATATTGCAGACAGCAATGGCAACAGTCCTTTAGAAAAGGCAGACTGGGTGATCTAAGTAGTCTTCTCCATCTCTGCTTGGGTCTACTTTTGGGTCACTTTCTTTCATTAGTACTGACGTGACCCTGTCGTGATTCTGTGCTCAGTCACCTCACCGCACAGTTTACAAATGCCCAGGTTAATCTGGCTTCAGCTTAGAGCCCAGTATCAGTAAATACACAGCAATGATGGCTTGTCCTAATAAAGCACTCTGCAAAACGCAGCAGCTGCAAGACACACAAATAGCTAGCTCAATTTAACCAAAATTCATCTTAGTCCTTCATTAGTGACATTTTCCAACAAACTTGCTATTTAAGTAACCCAGTTCTTCTCAATCACTATTACTTTTACCTATCTAAAATAATAAGAAACTTCTTAGCACAGAACTCACTTCAAACTCTGCTGTATTCGAGTTTATTTTCTAAACTCACTCTGTGCTAGCCAGGCTGCTGGGCTGGGGCAGTTTCAGCTCCGTAAAGCATAAACGGAGACCAGCTCTTCTCTAGCAAGCAACATCCTTTCATTTCTTCCTGGAAACACAGTGCCCTCTAGCAGACAATTAGAAAAATCTACCACCAAGCAATTCTCCCCCTTCTTGGAAAAAAAAAAAAAAAAAAAAAAAAAAAAAGCATAATGATAATAATTTTTAAAAAATGACTCCCTCCTCCCAACTTCTCACATTTCCATGTGCAGTGCATATGCCCATGAGGATTTCACTGCAAGAACATCTTGACCCTGTCCTGGGCCACCTTTTACAGCAAGGACCAAGCTGACATTTGGGTCAGACTGCGCAGCACTGTGGCTACAACATGCCTTATTACAAGCCAGAATTTGCTTGCCCATAGAAAGCTGAAGCATTTCTTGGACAAGACCGGAGGCTTTAGCCAAGCCGAGGTGCAAGCCCCGCTCCAGAATGGGCCTGCTCTCCACGCTGGGGCACTCGGGCAGCCCTGCTGCCCCGCTGTGACAGCGGCACCGGCCCGGTGCCTGCATGGCCACTAGCCCTGTGCTGTTCGTAGCCTTGTCCATCTTCCCTCACTTCTCCTCCAAGCAGAAACTATCCCTGCGCATGTGGAAACAGGCTACCTCTATTTTAGGTCAAAATCTATAGCTATATTGACACAGTGCTCCCAAGAGAGATCAAATGCTTGGACTCAAAGCAAGTTCTCACAGCTTCTCATGCACTGTATTTATTGTTCCTCACAGGGAAGGGTTAAGATTTTTGTGATCTGCCGCTGGAGGAAAGTTGTTATACCCCAGCTTTGCCTTTCCTTGGCTGTGACTGTAATAGTTAATTTCATTATGGAGATGCTGAGAAACCTCATCTGTAAGTCAACACCATGGATTAGATAGAAATTTTTAGCAGGAATTATTTATGGCTATTAACAGCATTGACGTCTATATTGCAGTTACTGTGTTCTGTGAAGCATGCATAGAGGTCAAAAGGAAACTTTCACGGATGAACATGGCCTGCCTTTTAAGCAGCAGGTGTCCAATACTACCAGGAGCAAATACCTGCTTTGATAACCTGATCCTTTACATCAAGCCCCTGGCTCTTAATGGCAGATATATCTTCCCAGTGCTCATCTATTTAACAGTTATGGAATCAGCAGAGCATAAGAAGGCAAATCAATAAATTGGACTCAGAACAACTCAGCAAATACTTTATATGCTCTGTCCAGTAACACCTTCTCAACAACCCCAGACAGTCTGGTTTTGCTTTTCATATTTTCATTAATCAATAATTAGACTCAGCCATGCACAAATGCCTTGAACAGAAATCAATATAGAAAGGATTTAAACTTTTCCTGGGAAAAAAATAAAAAATAAAAAAGAGGAGGAACTTGGGCAAAGACGGGCGCTGTCACACAGCACCAGTTGCATGAATGTGCAGGCTGCACGACAGGCTCCCATCTGAAAGCCTGTAAGATACGGCCCTTTGGTTGCTGTATCTTTAGCAGCAAATTCAAACATTGTCCCCAGGGGTGGAGGCAGAAGGCAGAACTAACACTGCCCTTCCTTGCAGGGACAGCAAAGCCCAGCCCTACCCTGCTCAGCTCCCACTCCAAGAGCTCCTCTGTCCCCTCTGCCACTCACACCCGCTCCCCAGCAACAGGCACAACCCCCTTGTCCCACCCCACCTACCCTGCACCTCAGGGCGGTGCAGAGCCTCTTCCTCACTGCACCATCATCACCTCAGCACCAGCACCCACCCCTGCTCAGAGCCCTCCTCGCTGCAGCAGCTCCCAGCAATCGATGAGAAGCTACTTAAACCAGGGACACTGGGATCCATCAAAGTCAATGCAATTCAATACCAATTAAAGCTGTTATCTTTTGAAGTTTCATAGGCAATTAGTTTGAATCAATATAGGCGTTGTAATTGATTCTGGCTGACAAACTGCTCTTCAGTGAAGGCACTTGGGTCTCCTGCTACTTCAATCTAAGCATATAGTAACACTGGGTATTATTTCCAATATAATCACTGGTGAAAGTACTACCACAAAGAGAACAGCTTCATACTGTGTAAGAAATGGTCTCATTTGTTTTGTCTTAAATTTTATATTATCCAAACTCAACCTTAAAGATGGGTGCAATAAAAATCCAGTGCCTCAGAAAGACATACTGCATCTCTTCTAATTGTAAGAAATATTTTGTTTCAAACTTGTTTTCAGTGTCCAGTAAACATCTATATTTGTGTTTGTATTTGACTGCTGAGATAAAAATCACACAGCCAGGGAGCATAGATGAGATGATGACACTTCCTAAAAGCAACTTGAGGAATTTAGCATCTCAAAATGCCATAAATGTAGCTAAAGGCAGAGTGTTTGAAGCAATAAGTGGCTGGATGTATTTAGATACAAATTTAGATAGAAAGATACCACTTTAAAGAAACCAGTGGTGACTTCCTGCTCCTTCATAGACAAACAAAGGAAGAAGCTGGAAGGCACCAAGCAGGTGCTACACAGCCAGGAGCTTGCAATAAACCTTTCCCATTTCTAGCCTTGTCGGCCCCAGTGTATCCCAAGTATCAGCATGGTCCCCACTTCCACAATGCAGATAAAAATGCAAAAAAATGCAAAAAAAAAAAAATGCTGGATTTTTTATTATTGTCACACCAGGAAAATAATACTTTTTAAAGAAGCCCAAATACAGGAGCCTGTTCCCAACCACAGGCTTCTTGAGCTTTCTGGTGCCTTTATCTGCACCATGTACAGATAGTTCCCAACTGGATTCACTGCAAATTGTCCGAAATAGCACTCAATTCATAGCCATTTGATGTGCCACTTCAGAGCAAACCCACACTTTAACTGGACTATATAGGCAGTCTGGCAGGCCCAAGCCCCAGTTCTGCTCTCCCGCTGACCTTGAAAGCTCCTCTCATAGTTGTCCGTCCATCTTCTCCATGTAGTTGTCCAGAACTGCCAACCTGTCTGTAAATTGCTTATAAACTCTTATACTGCTTTAGAGGATGGCTATCTTACTGAAGCATAAATAATCCCTACGACAGGCATTTAAGAGGAAGGTTGTTATGAGCAACTTTTTTTCCATCCTACTGAAAACCTGATATTACCTCTCTTTCATAAAGATTACTTGACTTCCTAGGAGGCAAGAGGGAAGGAACACACGTCAGGACAGTCAGCAGCAGCTTCCTTTCCTCTGTTAATTTTTAAACAACTTAAACACAGGCAAGCTTGGGCAGAGTCTAACTATGGATCTCTTCCACTCACCAGATGGCTCCAACTGCAGCCTCATCAAGGGGTTCTCCTCCCCACAGCATCGTGGAGCCCTCACCCGTTGCCTCAAACTACCTCTGCCCACAATGCAGGGAGATGGAGAAAAATGTGGCAGTTTTCCCTGCTGAGCTTCCCTACTAGCTGCCATGAATGTAAAGAAAAAGGCAACCAAGGAGTAATTCCAGGAATAACTCTGCAATAAAAAAATAAGGAATGCTCCTCTACAGGCACTAGGAGTGGCAGGTGACTGCCGGGCTCCTGGGACAGGGGCTGATGCTCGTGCTGCTTGCACTGTGCTCTCAGCACCCTGCCACTTCCACCCCGCACTCACTCGGTGGGTGTTTCACAAATAATTTAAGAGTCTATGGCTTTTGCATTTCTAAATATTTAATTCCCTCCCTCTGCCTAGCAGTTCAGCTCCCCTTTGAGTAACATTGCTGCTCTTTCTCACATTCCCTTCCTTTCCCCAGGAGGGCAGGCCATGGCTCATTATTTCAAGCTCTGATTGCCTGTTCCTGTTAAACCTGTGCCCACCTGCAAAGCTTGCAGAGAGCCCCATTTCCCCCCCAAACCTCCAGGCAGGGGCACCGAGCTGCTAATGCCAAGAGCAGCACTTGCTCAAGTGAGCACCGCAGAGCCTATGTGAGAAGAGATGGGCATCTCCCCAGCAAAGCCCAGGTCCTTCCTGGGAAACACTGCAGAAAACAGTTGGAAGCTAAAACCCACTCCAGAGGAAGCCCACAAATACCAGTTTGCTGAGCTCTTCTGGGCACACAGCCCCTGCCAAGAGAAGAGCTTACCACAGCATGCAGCTGAACAGCCCCTCACCCTAGTGCACATCTCTGCACCAAAACAATGCACAGTTATCATCACAGTTAGCACCCTAAGACACAGTTAGCAGACACCCAGCTCCAGACCTGCTCTCCTCTCCCCCAAGGATCACCCTTGAGTCAGAGCACATTTCTTTCCTCTGCTTTCAGAGCCATCACAAACAGTCAACCCATTGCTGCACCAGGCATCACTGTTCAATCATCATTGCTGCACCTTAACATTCCCCTCAGCAGCCCCCAGAACGTTTCCTCAACTTTTAGCTCCAGTCAGCAGCTTTATTTTACCTTTCCTCCAGAGCAACAAGGGAACCAAGCCCACACCACAGAAAAGATCAGACTGCTTACACTAGTACCTCTCTGGCTCCCTCCAACAGCATCTCACTGATAGCCACATTCACCAACACCTTCCACAACCCTTACCTGCACACCTTGCCAGAACACAGCTCCATGCCACCTCTCCTGCCCCGCAGAGAGACCCATTTAAGAAAAGGGCACAATGAGCCTCCTCCTCCCAGCTGGGCTCCTCCTTAAGGGCTGCTCTCCTGTGCCAGGTGCAGCTGGTCACACTGATTGCTCCCTGCCCAGGGGCTGCAACAGGTTGAGCAGAGTGTCACAGCTCGGGGGCTGTTAATTCTGGTTCCAGGAGAACCAGGTGAGTCTTGTTACTCACTCAGTGAGGTGCCGGCCTCCCACGAGCACTGGGCCAGCCACCTGCAGTGCCACCCCCCAAACCTGGCCTGCAGCTTGGGGCTGTTGCAGAGCTGGGAGGCTGCACGTGCTGCACTGCAGTCTGCTCCAAGGCACCCCAGCCTTGTACACAGCACCTTGTACATGTACACAGCCACGTACAGGGCACCCAACTGCTGTTGTCACACAGCAGAAGGATGCTCTAGCCTCTGTGCAGGGCTCAGAGAACAGCCCCAAGCTGTACGGTCAGCACCTCTGTAAACAGAGGGGTCTCAGCACACCAGGGACAGTTCAGCTGCCTCTAGAGCCCTATCAAATGTATTTATTTCACTGCCACTAATCTCTTCCCTCTGACATGTCCTGTTATTGATAAGTCGAATTCCACTGGTTTTTTTCTTTAAATCTCCTTTGTTCCCTTTGGGGTCTCATTTCAGTTCTGCCTGTTGCTCAGACCATCCTTCTGTCTGGGGCAGCTACTGGGCTTGCTGGGACCCTACGGCTGTCTCACAGATGAGGCCAAACTCCTGGGACTTGCTGTGTGTCAGTGACAGATTATTAACATTAGTCAATAAGCCAAATATGGCTTTGAACAAGCAACATCTTCTAACTAAGTCGGAACCCACCCCCTTCAAATGCCTGATCTAAAAATGCCTGATCCATTTTCTTATAGATATTCATCATCATCAAAGATTATTTCTGGGCCTGGCAAACTCAGGCTAGATGAGAATTTCTAAAAGCAAGGACTGGCTGACAGCATTTTGCTGTGAATAAGGTTGTCTTGAAAAAATGATTGATAAAGTTGTTCCCTCTATGCAGGAAATCTTGAGAGAGATGGACCCCAGTTACTATGGGTAGGGTTTTTTTCCCCCCTCTCAAAAGTTCCTACAAGCAGCTCTCTGCAAATTCATACCAGTATGTTCTTCTTATCCTGCTCTTCTTATCTGCTCAAGAAAGAGCTGCAGGGATGATTTACATGTCTAAGACCTCCTTAGTTGCTGCATTCTTTAGAAGTCAGTTTTGTTCTGATGACAGAAGATGACTGCTGAAAACTTAAAAAAAGAGTTGAAATAGAAAACGGTAATCTAGTATTTTCTCCATTGTACATTAAGCTTTGGGAAACTCGTTTCAAGTCCTAGCTCTGTTACGTTTTTATTAAACAGCCTAGACTTTTCAGTTCCTAATCCACAGAATGTAAATATTACCTGTGAAATGCAAAGGTAAACCCATTATGAACTGCGATATTCCAAGATACTACAGAATGAAGTGTCAGACACCGAAGTAGCAGATTAACATACAATTATTCATTCTGAACACAGTTCTGTTACGTCTGTACTAACAAACGCAGAGCAGAATCTGTACAGCAACACAATTAATGACAAGATCTAACATCCATAGTGTGTATGCATTTCCCTATACTAACATTGATTCCAAAGAACATTACGAAAATTCTCATAGCTCTGATTTGTTTTCACTCTGCAGAATTAAGGCAGCCTGTTTTCCCCAGGCTCCTGCACCATGTGCTTTTAGCACATGAGCCCCAGTTCCTCAATATGTATTTCAAGCTGCTATGATGCCCTCCCTTGATCCTCCTCAAATCCCCAGCCCCTTTGGCATCCCCAGCACCTCAATACACTTCTACACTTCCTACCTTTTCAGTTTTCAAATCTATGGATGTACTTAAGAGCCAGCCAAGTCAGCCATTATCTTTCAGAATATATATATATATATATATGCATATATATCAGCTGAATGTTATGTGACAGTGATACTCAGGTAGGTGCACAGATAGGAATATCTTTCCTCTATCCAGCCACCACAATTTTCCTGGAGCTTGTAGAATCCTAATATATTTTAATACTCCTTCTGCATTTTCAAATCTGGTTGAATTTGGCCAAGGACCTCAAAAACTTTTAGCAGGGACTGATAGATATAAGACAATCACATATCTTTACTGCCATAAGAAAGCAGTTTAAAAATAAGGTATTCCCATGATAAGACAGAATGCTTTCATTAAAAATACAGTGACACCAATTCTAAGGTACTGAATACGAAATCCTAGCTGTCCCCACTGCAAGCACACAAACCTTACATCATCAACGTGCACAATCCCAGAGGGGTATAATAATATTTCACCCTCCAAAGTCCCTCCTGGCAAGATTACTATATACCCTCCTTAGAAACATTTTACCTATGGATGCTTAAGCCCTCTTTTCATTAAAATTAAATTATGACAGGTTTGAGAGAGAAAGGAGAGAGGGAAATAACACAGTTCTATAGTCATGCTGAGGGACATCTGTGGTTAAAAAAGAGAGGAAAGGTTTGTCTGCAGTAGGCTGGCCAGCCAAAATATTTACTCTCATTTTTTTTCCAGATTCTAAGATTTTTAATTAAAAGAAAAAAAAATCCTTTAATCCTGATGACTGTGAAGTACATTTTCAACGTACTGTAACATATACATGATTGTGCAGCAAAACAAAAATAACAGATCTAAAGAGGGATAGATAATTCCATAATGTCAGACACCTATCAGTAAACAGTCTTGAAGAGAACAGGAGGTTTATTCTCAGTACCCACACAGCTGAGAAACACTTGGCTGAAGACAGAAGCACTGGAAGAAATACATCAGGTCAGCAGAATAAATCTCTTGCCATAAAGAGCAATCTCAACATAACACTCACTAAAAACCAAACGTGTGCCCTTGTAGACAGTTCAGCTTTCATTTCCTACTCCATTTAAACACAACTGACTGCACACAGCCTGGTTAAGACTTTTCAGCCCTAGAAGTAAATGGGTGGGTTTGATTATCTTTGTTTTGATTTTTTTTTTTCCTGAAAACCTAAAAGTAAGGAAGCAAAAATACATTCTTTGGGACTAAAGGATGAGGTTTGAAATCTACTTTCTCTTTTCTTCCTATTGAAATATCTTGCCTTGACTCCAGAAAGCAGCATTTCTGTGTCCCATCACAGTAAGTGACTGGAAAGAATGGCAAAATAGGAGATGTTTTCCATGGTAGTAACTTATTTCAGAATCCTGGACCTAGCAATTACAGTACATAAAACACTATAGATGAAAAAATAATGCAAAACCCATTCAGGCCTAGCCAGGATGAATGATTTTTCAGAAGGCCCATTTATGCACATTAAGACTTGCAGTCTGTGAGATTTTACTCCTTACCAGATCTTATGAAAACATAATGTGCCTGTATCTGGGTTACAGATGCAAGCTTGCTGAGGGAATGGCAAGGACTGTTTCACATTGACAATTACCTCTAGTAAGGCAGCACATCTTTGTCCTCTACTGTATCTTCCACAGATAATATGAGCAATCCCAAACATGAGGCCAGGGAGCCTCAACTACCATTTCACATTCAACTCAGTTGTGCAAGGCAGGACACTTCCCCTTAAGAGGCGCTCAGCCTCTTCAGCTCATTTTAATCAGACCTATAAAGGAGACTTGCAGGATTAGTCCAGACTTGGTAACTTCTCCAAGAGGTTACTACGTGCTTTCCCAAGGCACTGCAAAAGTTGGAAAATTCCTGACAGTTTCAAAAATCGTCAGCCAGCTCTTTCATGAGCTCTGAATTTATTCAGAAATAAAGCCACCACTGCACAGCTGATAAACCAAATGCAGAGCCCTGAGAGAATGACGTACACTGCTATAAATCGTAATGGAGTCACAAAACTGCACTACAGCCATCCCTTGAGCATCAGTAATATAAAGGGTTCAAGGATAATATCTACTCTACAACCAGACTTGAATATATATTACTACACAAATTAGTCTCTTCCAGATGCATTCAGGGGAGTGGAAGGAGTGAGAGAGCCTGTGCCCTTGCTCTGCCAGTTCTCCTGTATCACTTCAGCCTATTTGTGGCTCATCACAGGTGACAGGAATCCAGGCAATAAATAAAGACTGGGAGACTAGACACCCCTTAGCAAAGGGGTGGCAAAGAGGCAGCACCTGTAACAGCTTGCTGAACTTCTACAAAATTGTATAACTAAAATATAACTATGATTTTACTGCATGTGAGATTGTACATGTACAATCCTGATATCTCCAGATGGCAGGAAGCCTCCTCCCTGTACGATGCTCGCTGCTGTTTGACCAACTAATGACATTTTAAGGACTGTTCAAAGCAAAACTCTGCTTTTATACCTACGATCCAGTGACATTGAGCTGGAAGGGTCTGTTTCAGAAGCACAGCAGTTAGAAACAGTGACCATTTCCTATTTAGTAATGTTGGCATGACTTTAGGAAAACCTAATCTTTATGTCCCTTCCAACTGCATCTACTTTTGCTCCTAACTCATATTACTTTAATTTCTGATGGAGCAGGAGCTGGGAAAAGCAGCGATGCTCAACTCATGCCATTCCAAGGAAGGAGGCGGTGCTGCGCCTGGAGACAGGCAGCCGAGGGCCCACGGGAGCATTTCCTCCAGGAGGGCTAGAGCAGGGACACGGCTGTGCCCAGCCCCAGCGGGTGGCTTCCCAAGGGCATCCGGAGCTCTGAGCTGGTGCTGAAACCAGTGCTTGCTGGACCCAGGCAGGCTGTCCCTCCTTCCTTCCTTTGTCTTTACCTGCAGCTCACCCGAAGCAACTTTCCCTGCCTGCTGCCCTGGAGGAGTGCAGTTCTGCTCCAGGCAGACTTGTCACAACAGCCTCCAGACTCTAGGGATGCCACTTTAGGAAAACCTAACGCTAACTCACAGCATTAGTCAAAACGAGAGGGATCCCGCCAGTCCCAGGCAGCGAGCAAGGACCGGCTTGTGCCAGCAGCTCTGCCCTCACACCAAACACGATGCCGGTGAGCAGCATCCCGGCAAATCCCCGTGGCGGGTCCCGGGCAACCTCCCCGTGCCCGTGCCGGCGGGTCCCGGGCAACCTCAGCACAGCGCTCACCTCGGCTCCTCCAGCGCGGGGCTCAGCGCTCGGCTCGGCTCCCCTAAGGCGGGGCTCAGCGCTCACCTCGGCT